AATCTTTTTTGTGATCTAAATATTCTTTTAAAGAAAGTAAAAGTGATGATAACTTTTACAACGGAGACGTACGTGTATTGTTCAAATTTAGAGAAAATTGTGTTTGGTGACGGTTCATCATATTTTCTTTAAAGACTAAATCAGCTCTTACGTTGCAATGGTTATTAAAATCAAACAAACATTCGATTGGTTAATTATTGAAAAAAAAGAATCTATATCATAAATATAAGATAAAGAGATAACTCATTATCAATAAAAATAAAATTACTGTAGTCAAATTTCGATTACTATTTTGGAATACTGGGCATAAATTAGTTAGTAGTTAGTGTTACTAGTCAAGTATAATATAAATGTGTCACAGTACATATTTGAAACATGGCAGCTTTCAGTTTAAATATGAATATTCTTAACGCATCAAAGTAATTTTTAACCTTCAAATCAATATTCGGATGTTGCGTTTAACATTACAAAAAAAGCTACTATCAAGTTCTTAAGAAGCTCAAAAATATTTCAATCAGACCAAAATAATTTAATTTTTCCAAACCCAATCATTTTCTTTTTTAGACTCATTAAAATAAATTTCATTTCAATTTCAGTTTTACTATGAATATCTAAAAAGAAAAATAAGGTACATTTTCTCATTACAAAAAGTAAGTAAACCGAGGCTAAGTCACGAGTGTTCAAAAGGTCTTCTTTGACAATTCTCCATCTAAATAAAACAGTCACATTATTACGAAGATTACAAGCAAAATACTTAAAACGTCTAAGCGTATTTAACTTTCCACGACCCAATCTCGGATAAAACGACGTAATAGAAAATAAAATTGTCTATTAGATTCGCAGACTACCTTCAGTACGACGTACATTTATTAACTCACTCCATTAAGCTAGCTCTTTGTTCGTTGGAAAAAATCTTGTTTTCATTTAAAAGTGGTGCGTGAGATACAATTTTAAATATTCCCCGCGATTACGAGGGGGTTAATTGTCAGTTAGACTCCGGGGGTTTCTTCAGAAAATTGCCAGTTGGACAAAGGTAGGTTATATATTTTTATGGTCCTTCGAGCCTGATTCGGTTTGGAAATTGTTTTTTTCTCGCCAACAGGTGCGGTCGCTAGAGTTTTTTTCGTAATTGAATTTGTGGTTGCCGTTTAGATGGAATTTTTATGAAAAATTATGGGTGTATCGAATATTTTCTTATCTTTTAATGTTTAATCTTCAGAATAAGATTTTGCTTAGAGAAAATTTAAGAAGAAAGAAATTGCTTTTAAACAAAATGAGATTTGTTAATTTAAATATAATAGACTTATTAAAAATGAAACATTATATAACAAATCACTCTGCTATTACATGCCCAAGTATTTTAAGTTTCTTTTTTTTATTTGTGATTATTTATGCTAACCTTTGTATGCAGCCTTTTTTAACGTCCATCTGTTGGGCACAAGTCTCCCTTCAATTTGAGGGGATCAGGCCATAGTCCACAAAGCCAGTTACGCAAGTGCGAGTTGCCGGACTTCAAATGTCTTTCGAAACTTGCAAAGTTCTCTCAGACATGCAGGTTTCTCACAATATTTTCCTTCATCATTGGATAAGAGGTAATCATATTCAAAATAATTTGCACCTAAGAATATCGGATGTGCGAAACCCGGAATTAGAACCCACTTCACTTGGTTACCAAGTTAAGTTCCAAGAAAGCTTGTTACCACTGAACTACCACTGCCTCAGTCATTAATGAATGTCCTTTAATCACACCCAGTTTCGTAGTAACATAGCATGTAAAATCCGTTTATTGGGCCGAGGGTGAAGTTAATGTGTATCGCAATTTACATGATTATGCCAACATGTTTGCTCTAGTGTTCAGGACAGGCCGTAAAACCAACATCCTTATATACTGCAATAACCGTTCCACGACCCCATCGAGCCTTGTTGTATGCCTGAATTCTTAGGAACTAGCGATTATCAGAAAACTAGCGACTTACTCTCACTTCATTCGGTTATGCCTTTCTAGATATGCCGTACTATGTATAGAGCCGTAGTCTATGCTTTCCACCAGGTCATGGTGTATCTGTGCACTGAATTTCATACAAATTCGTCCATCCGCAAAACACATACACAAACCCAAAGACTTTTACATATTTAATAGTAGTTCGATAAATTACCACCGATAAGGGAAGATGTGTGTGAAGCTTAAGTCATTGAAGATATACATATTTGTAGAATAACATGTAATTAAATTAATATTTTAGTGTAATAATTGCTGCATTTATAGCAATCAAGTTCAAAGTAGAATCGTCCATCATTCGTCTACTTACCAGAAAACAGCTAAGAAATTAAGAATACTTAAGCTTATAATAACCTTGTTTTATGGACGCCATAACACGAAAAGTCAAAGTAAGGTTATAATAATCATGCTATAAGAGCTTGTGGTAGGGCTCCGAGTATAAATTTGAGCAAAATTATTATGTCACAGATAGGATTATTTTAGAAGATTACTTAGTGATATATGGGAAAGAGCCTATCTATTACTAAAATTAAAATGTAATATTAGTGGTTTTTATATCACTTACTCGTACAATTACCTGTTATGTAGAGTTTTCCTAGTTTTTGTGGTGCTTTTTGGTCTTCTCCCTATATAAAAAATACTTTACTGTTTAAATTAAATAGGATTAAGTAATAAATATTTTTCTAAATAATTAATTTATTTATTTATTGCATTAGTTTTAATCTGAGATATTTTTATTTATTAGCGTTACGCGCCTTCAAAGGACCAAAAATATATTTTTCGGCTTTATACATACTCGCAAGTACGATCTTGATAACCAATTTTCATAGAAAATGTTTATGAATAATAAAATGTTAAATATTAAATAAACGTATTCTATTTCCATTACGAAAACGTTTCTATATTTGAACAAAAACAGTGGCATAATTATAATAATATTTTACATAAAATTAACAAAGTCTTAGAGAGTCAGAAAGCTTCATAAAATTCTTCGGGCAAACGTAATTTAATTTCGCCTATACGCTTTTAACTTGCCCTAAACAAATATTGGGCGATGCCTGAAACTATGCTAGTTTGAATTTCAACCCTTGTTGACCCGTACTTGCTGAATTGATATATAGCTTTGATGAATTTAGTTTTTGTAAGGGTTTGTTAATGTTGTTATCGAAATATCCATTTTATTTGCTTGTTTGGATTACGAAACTGTATGTTTGATATTCGAAACTATATATAATTTTTATGCTTCTGTAAGATGTTCTGTTTTTATGTATCAAAAATACTAATTGGAAACGACCAGATAGTAAATATTTTAATAACAAATGAAATGAAATAAACTTTATTCAATTAGACTTATTACAAGCACTTTTGAATCGTCAATTTAATTTTAACGTCAGTGTAGTCAGCCCGTGACATGACATGAAATTAATTAAGCGATTCTTTATAATAACCGTAAAAATGGCAACAATTGATAATAATTATAAATAATAATATTTTTTAACCGATTTCGATTCGATAGAGACCAATCTCACTGAGCTAAACCAACCAGTCGATTATAGATACAGGAAATACTAAGTACACAAATATGTACGGTAATACAATTACACACTCTATTTCTTTCACTATTATAAGATTTTACTCCAGTGGGACGCCTATTCGACACCACTGGTGAGAGATCAGATGCAGGACCGTTTGTTCGACCGGTGTTTACTGAGGGGTTGTAATATCAGCAACTTCCCGTATCCGTACTGTTACTGAGAATTTGTTGATATAAAAATAAAAAAAAACCATACTCAGCCGGACTCGGTATTCGAACCCAAGACCTCCGAATCTGCCCAATATCGTAGTTAAAATATAAGTAACATTTTTTAATATATATTTTTATCACACACTAAAGATAAAATAAAAAAATGGAAAAATTTAACTGCAGTAATAACCAAGCAAAACGTTTTCATACTGAAAAAGCAGACAAAGTAGCAAACCGCAGCTAGTAGTTTAATAAAAAAACCTGGTCCTGAAACATTGCAGACAGCAAACACTTAGGCTGTATCGAGACACAATTACAGCTTTCATTACCATATGACGAGACTGTGTTTGTGCAGGGCGGCACCTCGGTACCTCGGCAGTCGGCACATACTGTGAGAATATATTAAGGGGAAGTTGTATCTTATTAGGTAAAAAAATTAATTGCCAATATAATTACAACACAGTTTATTTACCGTTTAATAGTTCATTATAAAATCCACATAGTAAGCTTTAGCGTTTTACTGGAAAGACTAAAACTGGGTGGAACCGACATTTTATGATAGTACTAGCATTGCCCGCGGCTCCGCCCGCGTTTTGATGACCAAAAACCAAATTCTTAGGTTTTACATATTAGTATACTCTTACTTTGCAGTTTTTGTATTTTTTCTCAGAAATGAGACCTTTTCCCGCGGTAAAAAGTTCTATCTATAGTCCTATATGTTGACCCGGATAACTATCTATCACCATACCAAATTTCATCAAAATCCCTCCAGTTGTTTTTCTGTGATGCGATAACAGACAGACAGAAAGACAGACAAAAATTCTAAAAACTATAAATTCAGCTTCTGTATCGATAATAAATAAGATTTTCCAAAAAATATTTAATGTACAGATTCGGCTTAGTTAGAATTTTATTATAATTATGTGTATTTACTTTATAAAATATTTTTTCTGTACTATAGGATCATATAGGCAAAGAATTTTACAAGGAAATGTTTGAAGTTTTAACACTTTAACTGTTATGTAATACAGTTCATTGTGCAATCAATACCGCCATATCAATAACCCGTACTAATAACATAGTTTCTGGGAATAGTTGCCGAATATTGTGGACCTTGCTGCTTAATTAAATGTTATAGGTTAAGGCTCGTTGCCTAATAAATATATATACGAGTATATGTATTTATGTAGCTATAGGACTGAGAAATAGTACATTCTGCTTCGCGATTTTTGCTCAGTGGTCTAGTGGCTAGCATAAATGGCTGCAGATCTGGAGGTCCTGGGTTTGAGTCCCGGGTCGGTCATGTTCCCTTATTGAGTATTTCTGTCATGAAAGTTTCAGTAATAGCAAGGAGTCGGGAAATTGGCGATTTTTCACCCTCGTGCCTCAGAGAGCACGTAAAGTCGTCGGTCCTACTCCTGAGCCTTAACTCTCACTGGTCGTGGTGAGTATTCGTCCCACCAGAGTATGAGAGTGACAGGAATAGAGAGTGCACTTGTGTTTACGCGCATACGCGTAGCACTATAATATTTCCTACTATTTTCGTTTTGCAATTTTCATTTAAATTTTGCAATTTTCATTTTCTTTTTGTTAATTGTGGGTAGGCTGTCTGTAACAACTATACCTTCAAGACATGTAACATCTCAGTCTCTCCCGTGACCATGGATGCTGTAAAGCATTCGAAACGTTGGGAACCAAAAATCAAAATAAATCCGCGAAATAATCCGAAAAGATAGTTATACTTCTAGTTTAAAAAGTAGAAGTAGTTTGATTCTAAAAGATACATTGTAATATACTCGTATAAATCAAAATGTTATGTGCGGATCTTTTCTAACATGATTACCAGTTGTCTTACATTGAAGGAAAACATCGTGAGGAAACCTGCATGTCTGAGAAAATCTAGCAAATTTTCGAAAGACATGTGAAGTCCGCCAACCCGCACTTGACCAGCGTGGTGGACTATGGCCTGATCCCCCTCGTATTGAAGGGAAGCCCGTGCCCAGCAGTTTGAGGTTAAAAAGGGCTGAATACATACATATAATTTATAAATAATTTTTAATATTATATTAACTTACCCTTAACATAAAACCAGATAGTAAGCAGGTGCATCATTAAGACATACAAGGGTCAGTAATCAAGTCATATTTTCTCGAGATTGTTTTTAATTGCGTGCTTATAGCTATTTGCTAGGTGGTAACATTATTTAACGTGTACGTTTATGATAAAGCATGTATGTAGGCTCCTTTGATATACGATAGGAGTATAAATGTTCGCACTCTGTTTACTACTTCAGTTTTATTGACATAAAAATCAGCCTTAAAATGAAGGAAGCAGTATTTACTAAAGTAAGATAAAATAATTATGTATTAATTACTATATAAAATCGTTTTTTTCTGAGTGATAGGTGGCGTCAGGATATAACTAAGGATATAACTATATAAAACAATTGATTGAAGATACGTCATTGTACGCTTTTATTCACATTGTTTACGTGGTGCTTTAGAAAAAAAAAATGATCTCCCGCTGTCATAACAAATATATGTATTTTTTACTTCTTTTATGGCAAATCAAACGCCATTAATCTTTTTCAGACCCGAATTCCCTTACAGATTCTCATTCAACGTGTTTGAATTGAATAAGAATAAAATGTTTTTTTCTCTCATTAATAAATTATAAATTGTTTGTCGTGGTATCTCACACCATCCCTTCTGCATTGAACAGCGTGATTTATCATCAAAAATATAAAAGAATTTGGAATAGAACGGCAAATCATAACAAAGAAGATGGCCTCAATGGTAGTGTAACTTTCTTTTAAACAGCACATTGTTGTGAGCATTACTTATGAATAAATTATACTTGTCCCAACTACCCCACAAGGAATAATAACCTAAGTAATATTTTTAGAGTGTACAATGTACATTGTCACAGCTCGTATGACAAATCTAACGTCGCCGTATACCTATATCAAACACTTTATTCATAAACCCTAGAGCATGCTAAGTAAATTGACATACATACGTAATCATTTATTTATGCATACTTAAAAAAAAAACCGACTACGTAAAAATTGAACTAAAAAGATGAGAATAAGTGGACAATGGAATATAGTACTATGCAGTCAGATACATATAATATAAGTTCATGTTTTTACTTGCTGCAAGTCTCGCTGCAAGTATTCATATTTTGACAATCTCCTTATCAAGATAAATCTAACGATGAAAGGATCATCAAAATCTATTAAGGCGTTTAGTAATTATGAGGTAACATAGGATTGGACATACATATATACTGCTCAAATACATAACCCTCTTATGAGCTTCTCCGCAGTCGGGTAGAAAAACGTTACTTTCCATTTTAGGGTAAACTAAACATTAAAGTCATTGTAGTTTTCTATGAAACAAAAGTAAAAAATATTTCTTGTTGCAGAGAGGCGCTACCTAACGGCACACTATGGTTGGGGTCTTTCTCAGCGGCTCAGTATCGAAGTGACGTCCACGCGGCCGTGTACAGGTGTCGAGCCTCCGGAACTGTGGGCACGGTGCTTTCTAGAGATATGCGTCTAGAAGCTGGTAAGCATACTAAAGGCTGATTGTTTAATGTTTAGACGAATAAGGTGAATGTAAAAGTTCAATACATGTATGAATGCATATATATTTAACATGTAATCGAAAGTTCGGTCGGTTTACACAACAATAAAAAAAATCATAAAGTCTTTTATGGTATAAATTAACCTATACCTTTTAATTGATAATCGAAAAACACTCATCATAAGATCTCATTTCTCATTTCGTCCAGCCCTTTTTAACATCCCATTACTGGGTAGGGCCTCCCTCACTGCTCTCGAAGATTGCGAGGGTGATTAGGCTGTAGCCCACTGTGGTGGTCAAGTGCGGGTTGGCGGAATTAACATCTTTAGAAACCTAGTTATGTTCTTTCATATCGCAGATTTCCTCACGGTATTTTTCTTCACAGCTAAGCAAGTGTTAATCATATTGAAAATTAAAATATTAGAGGTGCAAGACCGAGATTTGAACCCGCATCACTTGGTTTTCCAAGCGAGTGATTTACTACTACGCTCCCACTGCCTTAAATAACACAGTAATAGCCATATAAATAGCTATAATCTTTTCCTTTATCTATGACAATAGTTGGGATGCTAGTGTGTTAGCCAAATCCTATTCCAATTTGCATACATAACTTCATTAGGAACAATTGACACCAATTTGGCAAGCACTGGAAAATAAATCAGATATGGGATCAAAAAGATATAGGAGGCGCAATTTTGAGATGAAAACATATAATAATTGAAACATGCAATTTTTTTTAAATGCCAATATTATTTTTTATATTATTTTTTAAATGAAATATTACCTTGTGATGATGTACTTAGGTTAAGAAGTCTAGAAGAATATCTGTCGTAGAAGGATTAAAGTCCTTAAATAAAAATAGTTTAAAAAAAAATATGACGAAAATTGCTGTTTTATTTGTCGCTAACAAAATGTAGTGTATTTGTTGGATGATATGAGTACTTTGATTTTTTTCAGAGTATATCTATCTTTGTCATTCTTTTTGTGTCCCAACCATAAGTATTTAAATTGTCGGCGAATATCTTTAATACTATGTTCTTTATTACATCTATAGATCTAAAAGGGAAATGGCGAATTTAAATAATTTTGTGAAGTTAAAAATGTTGAGGAATTTATCTTTAGAAGTGAGAAAATTCCAGTTTGTCAATTACCTAAGAGAATTGAATAAATATTCGTTACTCTATGCTTCGTCAAACATTTACAAAACGCCAACGTGACGTGACCCTATCAATTTTTCAACATCAATTTCAACCCTATATTTTTCGAAATAAAGTTTAAAATTCAACGATAGCATCAAGAGTGAATTGTCCATAGAGAAAAATAGAATGGTATTCCTTTGACGCCGAATTAATATAATTTATTCGGCAGTTTCCTTCGACAAAGGATATTTTCGTGACTTCTGCTTTTCACACTTCAATTTGATCTTTTCAGGGGATCGTTAAACAGTTGTTTAGAATTCAAAGATTTATATTATTTAATTATCTCTCAACTCGCAAGGCATGATTGGATTTTGTTTTGTTTTCCATTATAAAGGAGCTAACATAATGTGAAATGGTTGTGTTAATTAGGGTAGGGAATATTTAAATTTAAATATACATATTAAGTAGTGAAGTACTTGTTATAAACTGATAGTCTGTAACATATGTATTACTTATACTTCTTTGGCTATCAAACATGCTCATAGCATTCCATTTAAAATTTTGACTGTATGCATTATTATTTAAACTAGTAGCTTACCTCGGTCTTCCTCAGCTCCTCCCCAGTGCTACCTGAATGCAGTTTATTAAATATGGCTATATTTTCAAAATACTTAAACATATTTCAATAAATAATGACTTACCCTCGCTAAGAGGAATCTTAATTTTTCTTTCTAAAATTAAAGTAGTCTAAATTACTCCTTATAGCATCAGCTATCTGCCAGTGAAAGTCCAGTCAATATCAAGAAAGCCATTTCGCAGATTAGCCGGAACGAACACACAGAAAGACAGACAGACAGACAAAAATTTTTAAAATTATTATTTTCTTATAACTACCGTATAAAATTCATATGCGATTAGTAAAAAGCTTTTATTTTAACATTACAAACAGACACTTTCATTTTATTTATCTGTATCGATTGTGGTAAAGTGAAATGATAATAAGTACATAAAGCTTACTTAGAAATACTAAAATTTTATTCAAATAGACTCTTATAACCGCTTTAAAATTTTTACATTTAAATAAAAATACAATATTGTAAGTCCACGAGGGCCCTTAGCTGAGATCTCCCTATCGCTCTTGTTCCGCCTTTAAGAGTTAAATTAAAAAGTCACCTTTCTTAGTAGCTGTACTGACAAGTATCAGTACCAATAGGATTACAATATCTCTCACAGGCCAATAATATTTATTGAGTTTTTTGTCAAGATATTCTCATTAACTCAGTGGGTGGAATTAACAAGTAAGTGGTTGGACCTCCCGTGCTTCAAAATCAAATCAAAATATACTTTATTCAAAGCACTTTTGAAGTCAATTTTATATTTTAAATTAAATGTCAGTGTAGTCAGTCCGTGAGGAATCTACAGCCGGCTCGGAAGGCAGTTGTGCTGAGAAAAGCCAGCGAGAAACTCGCGAGCATAAAAAACAGGCCAAAGCTGTAGGTCCTGTGTTTGATCTCATATTAGTGATATTGAATAGTAGCCATTACTTGATATGAGTTCAAGGAACAGATAGTCTTTGCGCACCTCCATGCCTGCGTGTATCTCCTGAACATAACGCAGATAACCTTATTATAATATTATGCCTTCAGGTCCCACGTTAGTTTATTTGAATCAGTTAGTAAGACAGATACACTGATCCATTTAATTTTACATGTATATACAAGATCATTTTTAATTTAGTTAAAAAAATACATTAATTTAGACTTATCACGTACATATAAAAAGCGCTGGTAATGAAACCTCTTGAGGCGCGATCGGTCCAACTCACATCGCGATCCTTTCCGATAACACTCATCAACGGCGCAACCGCAGGAAGAATTAGACCATCACATTTAGGAAATAAGTGTTGAAATTGCATGAAAATTCTATCCACTTGACCTCCGTATTGGCGTAAGTCAGGATCGCTCGGGCTAGAATGCAAATACGAATCTTTATAGAAAGCCTCGAGTGCCATAAATCCCTGAGATTGAGCTCCCAATATCCTTTGTAAGAGAAGTCCGCTAATGGAATCAACTGAGAATCTAAGAAATCATATCTTGAACCGATGGATTTCCTTCTTGCGAGTAAATGATGATTCGCTATAATTACGGAGAAGAGTTTTATTTCCTTATAGATGGGTTTTTTCATATATATTATGAACTAGCAGCTCACCCTTGCTTCGTTTGGGTTCGTCCCTTGGTACGTTTTAACGATTAGTATAGAATAGACAATATATTACGTACATACATAGGTATATAAAAATAGGTAAGTACTTTAAAAAATTAAAAAATATATCCCTTACTTAAAAAAATATTGTTTGCCATACTAACTCCCATCCCCCTTTTCACCCCCATAAGGGATGATTTCCAGGACAAAAAACTGTCCTGTCCTTCCCAGGGCCTCAAACTATCTCCATAGAAAATTTGATTTAAACTGGTTTAGCATATTAAGCCCGAAAAGGTAACAGACACACAGACATACAAACATAGTTTTGACGACACGTTTGGCTCAGTTTGTAGTAACCCTACTTGCTGTGCCAGCGGTCGCGGGTTCAAGTCCCGCTGGGGGCATTCATTTGTGTGATGAGCGCGAATGTTTGTACTCTAGTCATGGGTGTTTATATTTATAATATGTATGTATTTAAAGTTATATATGTGTAGTGTATCAACTATCTGGTATCCATAACACAAGCCTCGTAGCTCACCATGGAACTAGATGGCGCTGTGTGTTAATGTCCCAACATATATTTATATTTATTTATTTATTTATTTATAGTTACTTACGCATTTATAATATTTATTCCACGGGAACCGTACATTTTTCGGGATAGAAGATAGCCTATGGGCTATTCCAGACTATAATCTATTTCTGTGCTAAATTTCATCCAGATCCGTTCAGCCGTTCTGGCGTGATTGAGTAACAAACATCTATCCAAACATCTAAACTTTCACACTCATAATATCAGTAAGAAGTATGGATGCCTATAATACGTATAAACAAAGGTGTCTGCCTATGATTTTATAAAGGTTTTAACTCAGTATGAGGTATGTAGCTACCTCTTACTGAATTCATAAAAGTTATTCACACGATACTAAAGCCAAGTCAACAAAAATCTTCTGCCAGTTTGAACCCTCTGATCTCCAGAACACCGACCCGAACCGGACTGTCGCTTAGAATATTAAATGTCTTATAAATTCCATTTTTCTTGTTATACTTTTGAACTCGTTATACTTCATAGAAAGTTTTAACGATTTATGTGTTATTTATGTATATATATTATATATTCTGTACTTATACCAAGAACTTCTCAACCCAGTATCAAATACAAAAAAACACTACAAAATATCAATACCACTTACATCGGATAAGATCAAATATTTGGTGGCTTACACATCGAACAATTCTATAGGCTTTGGCAACGTTCGCAACTTACGCTCGAAGGCCCTTCGCCGCCTTTTAGCCCTCGACCGAAACAATGGCGAGTCAACATCTCTCCCCTTTTTGCGTAATCCACCGAAAAATTATCAATAGCTGCCCTGGATTTTGTTCCAATATCGGATTTAGCTTTCATATTTCAAATTGATTTTTATATTTGATTCTACAATATGATCACTTGTTTATTTTCATTGAATATACGAGTATTTTCTGATATCTGCTAAATTTTTCAATTAAATTAAAATGAGTTGGAAAAATTAATGTACACATATGGAGGAAATAAAACTGCGAAGTTAGACGAAATTTTATTCATATTTATATATGTACGTGATAAACTGTACATACAAAGTAAATGTACGCTAAAGTACACTTATACAAGTGATATTCGTGGAATAGTAGCGAGGATGCTTGCTACATTTCCCTGTTGAATCGTTTCGTTGATTTTTAAGTGAAAAATTGAACATTTTGTTACTGCTATCTACATGTATAAAGAAGTATTTTTATACAATATACTGTGTATATCTATGTTTATATAACAATATTATAAATTATATATAACCTACCTAGCGACATAATCTTGTTTCGCTCGTATACGTTTTAATTTTTTTGAGCGGAACCCTGATTCTTGTTCAAAAATAAAAGTAGCCTAAATTACTCCTTATAACATCAGCTACCTGCCAGTAAAAGTCCCGTCTAAATCGATCCAGCCGTTTCGGAGATTAGTTGGATTAAACAGACAGACAAACATTTTAAAAATTGTGTTGTTCTTATAAGTACCGTATATAATTTCATAGACATTTAGCAGACAGACAGACAAAATACACTCAAAAAAATTAAAACGTATCTAAGGACGCACTGCGAGCAAAGCGAGGGTAAATCGCTAGTATTAAAAATAAACTATTACAAAATGCACCCCTCCAAAAGTCTTTGATTACACAGGCACTTTAATTTGGCTGAATCAAATGGGAATATACAAAAAGGGACTCGTAGCTGTTATATATCGGCAATTTAAAATTACAATGAGTGCTTAACATGTAGAGATGAAGTGTTGGATGCTGATCGGAACAATGACACGTAGCGAGGACATTCTAACTGAAGAGGCTTGAGAAGGCACGCTTCTAAGGCTGGATAATGCAGGATATTAAAAAATAATTTACGTTTTAATCACACTACAAAATAAAAAAATCGAACCAAGGTACCATATAATATTTGCTAATTTTATTTTTAAATTTAATGTTTATGTTTCTTTAATAATTGTATAATTTTGTGAGTAGATAGATACTGTCTGTAATAAGTGAGCTTTGAGATATGTAAAACATTTGAAACGTAGGGAACCAAAATTCAAAATAAATACGCGAAAAAATTCGAAAAAATAATTTTATTTAAAACAGCAAAAGAAAACTAGGATAATATTAATTATAATCTATTTGTTAGATTTGAAATTTTGCGTTGTATGTAGGTCAAACCCGTTCAATAATTTGATACTATAGGTTAGTTCTGATTATGGAGTTGAAAATGTAGAAATGGTTATTGATTTTATATATATTTTCTTTTAAAATTTATTACAGTTCATTACTTATTTTACTTTAATGGCTAAGAATAAAAATAAAACCCAGCTTCTCAAACAATCTGAAATGCCTTTAAAACTGAAGAAAACATAATAAAATGTATGTAAGTTAATAAATTGTTTTAAATTTTTAGAAAATATTTATGACAGTAGTTTACAGCTATTTTATTGAAATTCGTATAAAATCCATTCATTTGTACAGAAAACACGTTTTTAATTTAGAACGATTTATAAAACAAACAAAACAGAATTGGGCCTCGATAATATAAAGAGATAAATTGGGGAAAGCGACGATGCCGTCATTTACAGGAAATAAATCGATTTTCTTTAGAATAAATGAACTCTGACTGATTTCGAAGATACTTGGAGTGTTTATTGTTTATGAATTTAAAATTAATTTTTAGTGTTTGTTTTACTAATATTATGTATTATTATGAGTTTGTTTGTTTTAGTGAAATAGTTTGTCTAATTGTCTTTTCATAATTTAATCCCTACACGAGCGCGGACACGCCGGCATATCAGTTAACAATAGATTTCTTAGAATTTTAATTAATTTCTTAGAAATTTACCTGGAGGTGTTCATTTCGAATTAACATTATCACTTTGAAATTGTTAGCTTTTATTACGAACTAGCGACTTATGTCCCGTTTTATTTTTTAGAACGGAATCCTAATTCTTTTTCTAAAGTAAAATTAGCCTAAGTTACTCCTTATAACATCAGCTATTTGCCAGTAAAAGTCCCGTAAAAATCGCTCCAGCAGTTTCAGAGATAGCCGGAACAAACAGACAGACATAATATTTTTTACAATTATTGCTTTTGTCTTATAAGTTCCGTATATACTTTCATAGTGTGACTTATAGTGACTAACGTACAGTTAGCAATGTGTATTTTAAAATTGGCATTATCAGTCTTTAAATAAAGTAAAAAATATCAGTTATTAAGTAAAATATCCTATTTCTTAAGCAAATAAATCTTACGGTAAAGAGGACTTACAACGAAACAACTAACACTGTGCAAAGTAAATGCCCGTTTGAGCGTTTTAATTAGAAAGTAATCCAAACAAAACTATATAAGCCGCTGCAATAAGCCGGATGCTGCATCTCACAGGATTATGTGGGTCTTAATCCTGTCAAAGTTGGACATTCCCATCGGTGACATGGGAAATCAGTAGACCGGTTATTATTCATGGACGGCAGATTTTCATTATAACGTACCCCAGGAGATATGCTACGGTATCGATTCAGAAATCGCCATTCATTTTTATTTACTTTTGAAATTGGCACTTAATGAATTGTTAACGCTTTTGCACTTTATCTACACTTCTACAATACTATTATAAAGAGAAAAATATATGTTTTATGTATGTTTATAACGAATAAACTTAGATTAAACTTTTGTAAAAAGATAGTTTGAGACCCTGGAAAGGACGTAGGATATTTTTTTAATATTCCGGAAAATATACCTTAAGGGCGTGAAAATGGGGATAAAGTTGTATGTACATATTATATATGTAAGTATGTTATAAATGGAACTTAACACTAGCACATAATGATGTTGCTTATAATTTCACAGCTTCCCATTTAGAGAACAATTGGTGTTACAATTTCAAATTAGTGTTAAATGACTGATGGATTGATGTTTCATATGTACATATTAATGTAACTCACTATGTTGAAATATAGGGACTAAGGTTTCTTTAACATATTATACAACGGCAATGAATTAAACATGTGCGTAAATATTTATATAATAAAGTGAATAGTATATTTCAATGTTAGTATGGAAGAAAAAACCTCATATATACTAATATATACGACTCACTGCAGATTTTGGAATGCATATTCAAAAGTAATATAAGAAATCTTTTAAAAGCTTTTCTTTCTAATTATTATATAAGATAGACAACGTCTGTAATAACTATATGTAAATCTTTGGAGATATCAAAAATCATAACTTCCCCTGTGACGATGTTTGCTTTAAAGCATTCGAAATATTAGAAGTAAAAACTCAAAATGAATCCGAGACAAAATCCGGAAAGGTAGTTTAATTTAACATATTTAAAAATAAATAGATAAGGTGCTCTCCATATCCATTGTTAGTGCGTACGACATGAGAGTGCACTAATCCGCGAGAGAACAGCTGATCCCCGGCACTCTGTAACCCAATTCCAGACCAGTAATTAATTATACCGCAAGTGTCAAGCCGTGACGGCCGGTGGAATGTCATGGAGACTGCGAAATGATGTAATAGTTTCACACTATATGTATATAGTACTGTACTTATATAATATTAATGTACTATAACATTATATACTACTACTTTTTGTATGTCAACAAAAATATAAATCACCATTACAAACACTCCCTAACTCACTTTCTCACTCATTCCTGGACCGACCTGGGACTCGAACCAAGGACCTCCGGATTTGCAGCGGTACATGTAAGCCACTAGACAAACTAATTGTTAGTTTACTAAATATTAAATTTTTCACTCTTAATTTGTATACCCAAAAATCTATCTCTTTCAGTTATGGACGTTCCCTGGGAAGTAAGAGTCCAACCAACGCATGGGGTGTCAGGTGGCTCTGCACTGATGACCTGTGCACCCTCGGCGCCTGTCCGCAGCCACATCACTGTGACGAGATGGTTTAAAGATGGAGCAGTTCTAGCGCCTATGGCAGCTGACGCTGGTAAGTAAACAATCTGCCATCGGAATTATGATATGTTTGATACCTTGTTTGTTGGAGTTCTTATAAAAAAAAAAACAAACATAGACTTTGCTTGCAACGAAAATCGCACAGGCATAGGTTGTCAAAAAATACCTTCATATCGAACGATTTAAGCGCTGAAGTGTCAACCCCAAAATAATTTACCGACTGCCATCTTCTAAATAAATGTTCATATTTATGTTTTCTATGCATTCCTCAACTATTGATCCGATTGTGATGAATCTCTGGTTGATTATTCTGCGTATGCCTGTGAAGATTCTACGTGTAACAAAAATGTTTTCTTCAACTTGGACGTTTATCTTTTATGCGTTCCTAAATATATTTCGTTCGCGTTCGTTGTATAAAAGAACGTATGACAGTCGGGAGTGCTTCAACCGTGTCTCGCCACACGCTTCACACGATTGCTTGTACAATAACTGTATAAAGTAGTGACTAGATTATGCTACTACTGTGGTTTTGCTCACGTGTATATATATATATATATATATATATATATATATATATATATATATATATATATAAGATTTTGTAGGATTAATATAGAAAATATTACCTGTAATTTAAAAAAAAACCATTAATAAACAAATAATACATGATTAAACATGCAGACAAACAAACAATATATGTATATTTAGTTTATATCTTACACAACATTTTAAAAAACATATATAATATATTGTATGCTACAAACATTTTATTTGAGTCCATATTAGACTATTAAGTGTTGTCAACGTCTAGAAATATTATACCCATAGGTTTACTTCATATAATATATTGGCCAATTTGATTGAGAGTTATTTGGTCTGGATTTTCCCCACATTGGACCTATTTATCTTGAAAGGCGTCAAATAAAGTACTTTTATTGCTTCAATATTATGTTTATCACCGACTTCTAACAAGAACAGGTACTTATTTTGCGTTTATAATTTTCTTCTGTATATTACGCGTTTAAAATTTCAGAAATTAAGTGTACTTTTAACATTGAACGTGATTTGAAAAACGTTGTAACTTTTTTTATAAATAGTAAGTTATTGGAAAGAGTTCATATATATTTTATTATAAATATTTTTAAATTAAATTTCATGTTATCCAATCTGTTCCTTTGAGTAGTTAGGGCCAAATAAATAAAGTACTATAGCGTTAGTAGAATTAAAAACTATATCTATCAAGTCCAACAAACCGACAGCTGTGCTTGAACCTTTTAAATTGGACAATGATTAACAGTTATGTCCCTGCAATAAATTTGAAACTTAAACACCGGTTTCAATATTATACCATAGTCTGGAAAGTTGCCAGTTATAAAATCCAAATTAATTTCTCCCCGGAGCCGATTATTGCCTTTTTCGAGGGTGAAAAATTAAGAATTTTTCCTACAAAGCGCGTGGCTGTGACAGAAACAAGTGGTACTTTATGAGATCTAATTCTTCAGATTAGATGGAAATTCGATTAGCGTTTCATTTTCAAACGATGTGAAAGCTGTTTTCGATCACGTCATTTGCTATCCAAATTGACAATAACATATAAATTAATCTGGCAAACGTTACAATCTGTCCTGATAGCGATATTGACGAAAAAGTGTAAACGTGGCCTTATTATATGCAGCGATGAAGTATTGATGTGACTTTTTTGCAGAACAATAGTAATTTATGGCCCAAAAAGACATGCTATTTTCATTCCGATAAATACACTAGTTTATAAGTCAAGAGTGGAAAGCCAAAAAATCTGATAGGCTTAGAAGAATAGCTGAAAAAAGTCAATGAGAATATAGATTTTTTTTATGTAACTTAAAAAACAAAACAAAAAACAAATATTATCTAAAATTGAAACAATTCGAAAGTAAGAGAATAATCTACAACGAAAAATACCTAATAATAGAGCGATATGAGGGCGGATAAGTTACTTACAATATATAAAAAGCCTTTGTGATCAATTGTGTACAAATAGCACAATGTTCAAGGCCGATTTGTGATTACCCAGACACATTACAAATAGTCGCATAATTAAAGTAAACACGGTATTTGAGTTCAGTTAGTAATATAGTTTGTTTATCTTTGCCCTAGGCCTAGATTAAGCCGCAACATGGGACCCGGATTATTGATGCTTGGATGATTTCCCTTATGTTAATACGGGTCCACTATCCGGCTTAAGGCTATATGTAAATATGGATCAGAATCTTTTGAGACCTGCCAAAAATAGTATATAATATCTTCTGATTACATAGATTTTGCCGAATCGGAGACAAAAGTAAAGTGTTCTTTTTCTTGGTATTTTTATATACTTTAAATATGTACGTCTAAAATTAAATACATATACAAAATAGAATTAGAAAGTTATAATGTCTACACATTTCAATCATTTCTTATATTGTCATCAATTTCTTCATATACGCCGGAGGGTCCTCAGAGTTTTGACTTGAGCTTAAACTTAAGTATAACAAACAAAATTATTATATAAATAGGAGGGCGTTTTAACGGTTAGTATGTAATAGATAGTCGACCCTTGCTCTGTGAAAAACAAAACCAAATCTATCTATTGACACGCTTGGCTCAGTTTGTACTTGCTGTGCCAGCGGTCGTGGGTTCGAGTCACGCTGGGGGCATTCATTTGTGTGATGATCACGAATGTTTGTACTCCAGTAATTGGTTTATATTTATAATATGTATGTATTTAAAGTTATATATGTGTAGTATATCAACTATCTGGTATCAATAACACGAGCCTCGTAGCGTACTATAATCTATCTCTGTGCCAAATTTCATCCAGATCCCTTCAGCCGTTCTGGCGTGATTAAGTAAAACATCCATCCAAATTCTAGCATTTATAACATTAAAGTGAAAAAATAACTAAATCTAATAACAAGAAAAACGTTTGCGATAATTCAAAACTAAATAAGCAAAGAGCTTACCAGAAATGTGTTAAAAAATTCATTGATACCAGCAATACCACGAATTGAAACTGAGGATCAAAGTAAATCTAAATAAGAGAAAGAGTTGAGTTAATTCGATTCACAAACTTAAGAGAGTTAACATCGTCAGGAATTAAAAGTGCTAATGCAAGTTTAATGTTCATTATGGCTCTGTGAAATCTGGAATCCAAAGGGTTCGCTATATTTTATTTTAAAGATTGTTTTGTTTAATTGCGGTTTTATAAAACTCACATCGATCAATATCTATACATATAATAAAATTGTAACTAAGCCGAACCTGTACATTAAATATTTTGTGAAAAATCTTATTGAAATATTTTATTATTATTTTATTATTATTAATAATTATTATCGATAGAGAGACCGAATCTATAGTATTTAGAATTTTTGTCCGCATGTCTGTTACCGCATCACGAGAAAACTACTGAACAGATTTTGATGAAATTCGGTTTGATGATAGCTGGTTATCCGGATCAACATATATGATACTTTTAACCGCGTGAAAATATCTCATTCCTGAGAAAAAATACAAAAACTGCATTGTAAGAGTATACTTATTAGTATACCAAAGAATTTGGTTTTTGGTCATCTGAACGCGGGCGGAGCCGCGAGCAATGCTAGTACAAAATAAAAATTATATATTAAAAGATTATAGACATTTCTTTTATCTATAACATAACAATTAAGAGCTAGAAAAGTTGATTGAATAATTAATTAAGGATAGTATTCAAACTATTTAAACTCAATTGCAATAAGCTATTTACCTCATTAGATAGATTATAATCGAATATTCTTTTAATTATTACATATTGAATATCGTTAAAATCGATTAATTAGTAATAGGAAAATATATTATGCTTTTATTATCCTAATTTATTTGTACATTATCAATTATTTTTTTCAAGTTATTAAATTCACTTTACTACCAATGAACGAACTACCAAAAGAAAGTCGTCTTGGAGAAAGTTAAGATTATACTACATTGTCATGGGTTCGATTTCCAAAACTTTTTCTGTGAAGAGATTGTACAGAAATCAAATTTATAATTAAAAAAACATATATTTGAAAAACAACCTGTAATTTAGCACAGTATGACTTTTAATCTCAATACATATTGCTTTTAAATAGTCTCTAATATTGTAATTATATTATATTCAATTTTTTTGACATGTTTTAAAAAAAACCATAAACTATGCCTCCATTACGCCCCATCTAGAGTACTAATCGCCGCGACGAGTTGGCAGATCGGAACGTTTATGCAGATTACCCTTGTACAAGTGTAATTTTTGGCAAAGGCTTCAAAGTTTGAATATTTGCTTCATAGGATTAAAACCAGCCTGAACGTGCTGACGAATTAATATCTAACTATATACAATGGTTTAAGGAGATTATGCTCGGAGCTATTATGTTCTATTCGCATAGTATATTGGTATATTACTCTCGTTGCTATATTTGTGAATGTTAATTATAAGGTCCTGGGTTCAAGTTCTGATTTGGGCTAAAAGATTAATTGGATTTATTCCAAATGAAGTTTTTATATCTGCTTACATTTGCTGCTTCAAAAACACGTAGTTGTCTCGTCTTAGACTAGACCTAGTTTCATTGGGCATCCATTAATTATGTAATCTGTTTTTCTTTCAATTTGGACTCCTCCGCCCCTATGGTGAGGTTAAGTGAGATTTGGTAGTGCCCCCTTCCCCTCACATGAGGTTTACGCTACAGTTGTTAAATGACTATATATCTTTATATATATAATTCTTCTGTGAGTGTGTATGTCACTGAACTTCTCTCAAACGACTGGACCGATTTTGATGAAATTTTTTGTGTGTGTTCAAGGGGATCTGGGAATGGTTTAGATTCACAATTTGAATAATAATTTTCATCAAAAAAATTATTAAAAAAGTTTGAAATTTTCAAATTAAAGACGTGTAAACAGGACAACGTCTGTCGGGTCCGCTAGTATTTGTATAAAGTATAAAAATAATACAACGTTCAGGTATATTTTCAACAGGCAATATAGGATACTTCAAAAGAA